TCCTTAAATTATTACACAACTTCATAGAATAAATGTCACGTCTTTTTTAAGTCTATTCAATGTGGTTTCAATTTAATCCCATTTTTTTTTATTGTAATAGTACGACATACTACCATACCGTCCTTAAATGATCAGGGCATACTGGCCATGAATACGACCACCCGAAAAGAGAATGTTCTACTCTCAACGGTTGCGTTGCACTTTTTTTAATGGATGCAAATGAAATGGTAACCCCGCCTACACTATCGGTATACGCTACTACTATATGGTTCACGTAGGAGTCCGCAAACTTATATATACTCGTGTACAAACGGGATTCTTTGGGCACTGACTAAAAAGTTGAGTCATTGCCGCCGAATGTTATCCTGCTGATTCTATTAAATATAAGGTAATATCCATTTGAAGTTAATTAATTTTGATTTTGATTCCCAATTCGACTGCTTCAAGTATTTGCTAAAATGTCGATTATAATATGTGAGTGTTTCTCAATCTCGTCAGATACGTCATTTTAAGGCGTTGAATAATGTGCCTAAATTCTGAAACTTCTTGGAAAATTTTGTGTCGAATTGACGGCGTCAATCATGATGATAAATTGAAATTTTAATTAATACTGTTCTAATTATATCGAGTGGCGTAAAATGTCAAACACGAGATTAAAACAACACTCTGACATTTAATATTACAAAAGTGTAATAGTGTACGGAACTACTGGTGTCCTATTTACTATTTGCTTCTAGATGTTTCTATTTCAATAGGTAAAACAATAAGGAATTATTTTATGGCATTCTTAGTTTATTACAAAGATAATTTTATTTCTTTTTTTTGAGACCCGACGGTTTACTGTATGAGTTACTTCAGTAGTAATAAACTAGAAAAACTAAAATGAAAAAATACACTTGCAAGCTGTCAAGATGACAATACCCAAGACATCATAAATGGTCGTGACGGCGTCTCTCATATTTGTACCGCATTAGATACTTCTTTACCATAAAGTTGTGTTTTTTTTTTTTTTTATACAACTTAGAATGGCAAACAAGCTGACGGCCCACCTGATGGAAAGTGGTAACCGTCGCCTATAGACATGAGCAGTACCATGGACATAACAGAGTATACTGTTTCGCCCATGATACCCCCATGCGTTGCCATTCCTGAGGACTCAGGTGTTATTCCTCTGTACCCAGTAAATTCACGCCATATCCCACCCTTCAAACCGAAACACAGCCATGCAAACACAACTGCTTCACGGTTGAAACACGAATGGGACAGAGGTACCCACGCAATCGACTTTCGTACAAAGTCTCCCTCTGGTAAAATGTGTGTGTGTGTGATCAGTTAAACTACCTACTTAAGAAAAATAAGTTATTGATTCATAGAACTTTGCTGCCGTAAAACATGTGACGTAAAACACATGGCCTAAAGACTTACCTGCAGAATTTTATGGTATAACACTTTTCACTGTTATTAACGAAACCTCAGAATATAAGTTACGACCATAAAAAAAACCTCATTAAAGCAGTAGAGACGACATATTCACTGAGTGGGATAAACTGCAACCTAGATGCTCACTGAGCGCAGGAAACCGTCGCGAGACGGTATCCTTACAAGATAGCTGTATTTATTTACTCTACATGTCGATCTGCAAACTGCAAGAAACCCGTTTTAATCTCGAAATGTTGAACTTTTACTGAATTTATTAAATTTACGGATGGGATAACATGTTTGAGCGTGGGAACATTTTTCTAGTAAATATTTGCACTGGTATGGAGTTTGATATATCATCAATGAACTCAATTTATATTATTATTTATGAGTTTACTAGCTTTTACCCGCAACTTTGCCCACATGACGGGATTATCTTTACTGACCGGAATAAATAATGACCTATGTCTCTACATTCCCAATAATAGGTGTAGATCAAATTTCGTTGGTCGAGCCGTTGAGGCATCAAAAGCTAACAAACAAACTCACTTTCATAATTTTGATCAAGGATTTCCTAAAAATTCTATCGTAGTTCTTCATACTACATCTACTGTACCCACATGCACTAGTATGCTATTAATAAATTAAAATGTAGCCTTATTCCTGAATAATCTGAATGATGCTCTTATCTCATTATCTAACCTCAGGGATACAAGAGATATGGATTATCTGACCTTCCGATCCGCAGACTATATCAGATCACTCTCGGGCTCTTTGAATATCTACCATCTTGTAACCTTGCATGTTTGATAAGGTTAACATATCTTCTTACAATTTACAATTTATTTTTACCTTAGAGAAACTATTTAACATTATCAGCATGGATTCTAATATAGTCTCCTTTTCCAAGAATTTCCATATTTTAAGTCTACACGTGAAAAAGGCCATCTACATTGTCGTAGCTAGGAATTTTCCTAGGGGAGTTTGCCGACCAGTTAGTTGATCGATCACTGCAGACTTTCGATTTTAGTAAAATCTGTTGAGTGTATAAACGACTAACTTTCTATAGGAGAGCAAGTGCTTTTTTAGATTGTGCAGTGCAATAATTAGCTGCTAAATTTTTTTGGTACATTTATGTGGTAGATTTAAGTTTTGCAATTAACGTTTTAGACCAAGGGAGAATCACCTTTTTAAATGATCACTCAGATATATTGAAAATCCTTAGATAATTCACAGTGCTTTGTTGTTGTAAATAGTGTTCTCCCAAATGTGGGATTACTTATGGATTGTGATGGAAATTAACGACATGGGGGAGATATCGTTAAGTACGAAATGTTGTAAATTATTTAACGTTACTATTTTATTTAGAAAATTTAAATACACGACGTACAACACTCAATTTTTGTTATCAACCGACTTCAAAAAGAAGGAAGGATTGAAGTCTGTTTTTTGTGGGATTTAATGTATAATTCAGACGTCATTACCATACAATGCTAGACTTCAGTATGAACGATTTTAAATTAGGAAGACGTAAAATTTACTAATCATTCATCGCGTTCTTCATTTAAATCAACTTCTCACTTCAGATTAATTATAACAGGCTTTTCACTCACGGTAAAAAGATCATCGATAAAATTGTTAACTACAATATTCATTAGACATTAAGTGATTCCTTTTATAGCTAGTTTTAATGGCAACCAGACAGTGCAGGTCAGGCCATGTGACCGCTTACATAAAGCATTGTTTCCTATCATTAGGTGTTGACTGCTGATATATTCCCCGGCTGCACAGATATTCACGTTTTGCTTATTACATTCGAAAGTTTGAAAGACTGGCGCAGTTAAAATGTAATTTTGCATTACATATAACATTTGCACTGTTGTACCCACTATGTTTACTGGATTCGACCTATCAGTATTGTTTATTCACATAACTGGTTACGTGTGATGAATGTTAACATCTTCACTTTTTATTACGTTATAATTTATAATGTACGCTTCAAAATATGTTATTATAGCATGCGATAATGCGAGAGTTGTTTATGACGTTATTGCTGCAGCACTACTGCATTGGATTTTGGATGTAAATTTGGCAAAGAAAAACAAAAGGCCAAGGGCGGGTATAGAATTCATTTCAAATCTAGTACTGGATGTCTTCCAGGAGAATAATCTGTGATGTTTATATCTGGTATGTGCAAAATTTGTACAATCCGTTAACTGTCCACTGCTGAACATAAACTTCCCACTTGGGGGGTTTTGTCAGTACTTGCCATGCTTGGTAAGCGAGTGGGCAACTGCAGTTAGGCGTTAGGTGATGTTTTAAGAGGGACGTTGTTGTCCATCCTATCTGTAAGTTCCCTTAGTCGCCTCTTGTGATACCCACGGGAAAGGAAGGTGGCTCATTCTATGTCCAGACCGTGTAGTCTTAACTTTGGTCTTTGCCGTGTGCCAAATAATGCTTAACAATATTTTGAAACACTAATTTCTCAGTTGCCAACAAATTTTATTTATATTTTGGTGAAAATATATAAAATTAATATAGTAAATCAATACCATCGGTCGTCAGATCTTGTTTTTTGTTGTCAACGCGGTAGTCTAAAAGAACCTATATAGAATTTGTTAATTCAATAAGTAAATATTATTTCTGCGTTCATCCAAATATAAGTCACTCGCGTGTTTCATTCTCGCTATTTATTTATATTGTCACGTCGCCGAGTTCAATTATCGTTATAGACGCATTCGTTTGTAAAAAATCCCAAGTCCACAGACTATTAACGTCACTCATGCACAACTACACTAACGGCTTGGAATATAGTTTGTCCATATACAATATCAGATCTATCTACTACGCTTTTCACTTTGAATAGACTCATTGGACTGGACAATCAAATTTCAACTCTTCAAGAACATTTGAATAAATAAAAATTTGCGTCAAAAGAATGTTCTAGTATTCCATGTATGTGACAAATCAATTTATAACATGGTCTTATCGTTTACATCGATGTATGTGTATACATTATGATCACGCATTGCTGTGTAATCGCTGGCAGTTCTGAGTTTGTATTCATTGAATTGTATTAGGTACCATTCTATACAGTGATTCGATTTTCAAATATTTATATCGGCTAATTGCAAAAGGATTAAGAGATGAGGAACTGTGATTGGTTTCCGATATTTATAATTCAGTATCGATTCACGGACTGCTGCACAGAAATTTATCTCTTCCATTATTCATACGATATTAAATCAATCATGGCGACATCTCTTGCTATTGATTCGTCCCGATACAACATTTTTGTATTAACTCACAGTGTTTTTAGCCATAATATTACCTTAGTATAATCGTTCTACATTACAGTAGGCACATGTTACTATCGGTCAACTTACTACAGACTAACAAGTAAACTTCTCCAGCGAATTGTGGATTTCTAGCTGCGAACCTGTTTGCTTAGTTTAGCGAAAAATCTAACCTTGTTATCGTAAGTTTGACTGTAATTTTAAAGTCGCAAAGTCTAATTCGAAACGGTAGGGACAGTGTTCGGAAAACAATTTCGCTCTCGAGCAAGCGGTGTACTTGCATCGGTAAATAATTCAGTATAGCGCATGACACCGCGCGGACTGGACGTGTGTCATTGACGACGAATTTTATTAGCATACGTGATCGTAAATGTTATATTTTTATTTTTGAAAGAAAATCCAGTTTTGTTTTTGTCAGGATATCGAAGTGTTTTACGGTGTTAACAGTCTTATTTTGAATTTGTGCTCGTCATTTCGGAATACAAGTTGCTTCTATTTGGTTGTGGATCTGGCTGTGATTCTTTCCTTGGTTACATTGTGGTAATATAGTGTTAGGATTGATATTCTTCAATATGCGTATTTTGTTTAGTTTTTCATACAGTAAATTCCGCTTTAACTTACTGCATTGCGTATCGCTCAGCGCTGTGATTGTGATAATACTATATTAGACCTAAATGAGTCTTTTATTTATGAAATAATAATGCCAAAGCGAAAAATAATATTCTAAATTTTCGATATTTCCTAGAAAAATATATTTTCATAATTTGTGCACTGAAATAGAAATATGAGAATTCACGAACGCCATTTGTCACAAATAATGTGTTTATCTCAAAACTCACAAAGATGTTTTGGGCATTTGAAATAAGTACATATGCCAATTTAGGATACCATAATATGGTATATTTTTCTTTCACTTAATTATTTATTTGTTTTTTTATTTTTTTTATTTATTTATTCATTAGTACAAATATGTGTACATGGCGGACTTAATGCTAAAAGCATTCTCTCCCAGTCAACCATAGGGAAGTGTCAGAATACTCGAATGCGGTACTACTAATTATTAATATACATACGTACTAAAAATACATATATAAACGAATAAATATATATAAATAACAAATATACTTACACATATATGACATATAAATATATATATATGTTTTTTATTAACTAAGTATAATAATTAAAATACGGGACCGTATATATATTTTAGAATTAACACAGGTTGATGGTCGTTACCATGATGTAATCTCACAAGAAAAAAATTTAACCATAAGAGATACTGTAAAGTCTATTTTGAAGCATTTTTATGCAACTTAGAATGGCAAACAAGCTGACGGCCTACCTGATGGAAAGTGGTAACCGTCGCCTATAGACATGAGCAGTACCATGGACATAACAGAGTATACTGTTTCGCCTATGATACTTACCATGCGTTGCCATTCCTGAGGACTCAAATGTTATTCCTCTGTACCCAGTAAATTCACGCCATATCCCACCCTTCAAACCGAAACACAGCCATGCAAACAACTGCTTCACGGTAGAAACACGAATGGGTTTTGAATCATTGTCTAATCTATCTAAAATGTATTAATAAAATACATTAGAGATCATTTTTATTGCAAGACTTATTTACAAACTCTTACGATTCTTACGCTGGGCTCGGAATGTAGTTATTTGCTGAGATGATTCCGCAAAAGTCAACTATTCTGTTCAAATTAATTTATGTACAAAATAATTATATACTTATTTGGATACAATGCCCTCACGACTGTTGACATTATATGGCATGACTTGCTTCGAATTAATTGACTGTATTACGAATATAATTAGACTAGTACGCTCATGAAAAAAATAAACTATCTGTCCATTACAAGGCAGTGAATACCGTTTGAGGCGTGGTCTCGGTATAGAATATGCCACCCCTTCCTTTCCCGTAGGTGTCGTTAGGGAACTATGGGAACTTAATGATCCAGGGATGGGCAGCAGCGTCCCTCTTGAAACATCATCAAGACTAACTGCGGTTGCAAACACACTTGTCAAGCGTGGCAACTACTGCCAAATTCCTCCTTATGGGGGAGGCCTATGTTCAGCAGTGGACAGTTAAGGGTTGATATAAAAATAAAAAATAGATATATACTATTAAAGAATATTTAATCATTTATTAATCATAAACTGTGTCAATGGACAGTGTTTTAAATTATTTTTCAACCAACTTTAAAAAGGAAGGAAGTTCTCAATTCGATTACAATTTTTTTTATATGTTTGTTACCTCAAAACGCCGTCGGTTATAAATCGATTTACATATATTTTTTTTTATCTGAAAAGATATTCAATCAAAATGTATTCAATTATTTAGTTTTTAAGAAAAATAACTGGTTTTGCCAAAATTAAAGTCGTTTTTTTTTTTTTTAACACAATCTATGTGTGTATGTATGTACTAAGGCGGATATACTCTCTTCCGTAGTCTATGGACACATGTAACACGTGCCCTTTGGTGGCCGTAAAGATAACATTTTTAGATATGTTTATCATAGTCCCTTAAATCTTTTTATTTAAACGAAATGGCCCCATCTTTTCGCTCTGTAAATATCGACCAAAGGCATTAGGCTAAAAATTTCACATTTCGCGGAACTAAATTCAAAGTAGTGCATGCGATTCTACTGTCGCTTGTTAACGATGCTTATAATCACCGGTGTATTAGTTGTAAAATTAAATCGGCTAGAAGGCTAGGCCAAGACCACAGACGTACTCGTAGATTTAAATCAATGTTCTTGGCCTCGACGCCTTCTATGAATTTGTGGGTAATTAGCTTTTGCCGACTTTATTCGTGTCGATTTCGATTGTTATTTATCCCACGGATTATTTATTGCCAGGATAATATTACTTGCCACTGTTCTTGAAATAATATTTTGCACGCTAATGTTAGCAAAACATGTTACAACTATACAAATGCTACAATGAACAACAAGTATGTCTTTGCACTTACTATGTACACATGTGCGCAAATAAATTTATCTTTATCTTTACTAATACAAACAGAATGATGAAATTCAGAGCTCTATGGTTTATTGAAATCCATTCAGCTGGTAATGTCTGATTATGTAACAATCGGATTTGCTTTTTACTAATTTTAAAACTGTTATTAAAAAAACTTATTGAACAAAGCCTATTACACACTGAAGAATTACTTGAATGACAAATGTGCATGGTGTTAGTCGATCATGCATGGGCTTTTAACGACCATGTAATTTTAGCCGTAATACATTTAAGTAAATACACATAATGTTAACAGAGATTTAAAAGAGTAACTGTTGAGTCTCTTGCGGGCTCTTCTCAACAGATAACAACTTTCTGAACCCTGCAGTAGATTTAAAGAAAAGACGATTAAAAAGTGCTTGTAAAAAAGTCTATTTGAATAAAGATGATTTGAAACTTCCAAAAATTTACTGTTCAATGTTTTTGCAAAATAAAAAAATTATTTTCAGATTCGTTCTATAAAAGTCACATCAAAATCGGTTTATTATTTTGGGTTTTATAAAGAGAGTAATATAACTGATTTTGCAACAATTAAAAATCATGTTTTTTCTTTATGGAACACAATCTACACGTTACAGTTTATGAGCACTTGTTTATTTTAATAATTATATAACTCTAAGAAAACAATTTTATAATATTTATCATTTATTAAAATTTAGGCTATAACATTTCGCTAAAAAACCATAGACATAAAAATATAATATAAACACATTACCCTCCTTTCTTTTGGTAATGTGTTAAAAAGCTACATCAATGCTCAATCATGTACTGGGCTACAATGTAGTCTCTTAAGTAGTAACTACATACGCAACTAGTAAGAGAGTTCACGAACTCCATCTTGTATAATATGTAATTTAAGCACAATAGCAGGAAATAGGCGGTAATCATCAGTTTAACTCAATTAAAGTGGCTTTATCGCGGTTTGTTTAAAATAAGCCCGCATTTAGTCCCAAGAACAGTAGATAACGTGTAAATATATATGTAAAAATTATAACATTTATCTATTCTAACCTTCATTAAATGCATATAAATTATTTCGAAAGTGTAGTCTGTTCTGAAGTAAAGTTCTTTAGAATTACAATTTTTATCAGGTTGTTTAATATAGTTGTTTGTTGTCAGTTTGTTTGAATCGAAGCATTTGGCGTTCCATTGTTTCTGCCTACCCTAATGGGAGGCAGGCGTGACAGATATGTATGTATGTATGTATGTTTAATATAGTTGTTATAGTATGGACGATCGAGAATTAAATCCTAAATAGTTATGATGAAATTTTACTAAAAAAATATTAATTTATTATAATTAGTGTATATTGATCCTCAGTATAAAGATTTCGCTATAGTATTAAATATTTTTTCAATTTTTGAGTCAGAGATAAAAGTAGTGCTTCAGAATTGACTCGTGTTGTTATACATAACTATTACAAATACTCAGTAAATAACTGTATATTTTGGTATTACTGTTTAATTTTTTTTATACAACTTAGAATGGCAAACAAGCTGACGGCTCACCTGATGGAAAGTGGTAACCGTCGCCTATAGACATGAGCAGTAACATGGACATAACAGAGTATACTGTTTCGCCCATGAAACCCCCCATGCGTTGCCATTCCTGAGCATTCAGTTGTTATTTCTCTGTACCCTGTAAATTCACTGCCATATTCATTAAATGCATATAAATTATTTCTCCCTTCAAATCGAAACACAGCCATGCAAATACAACTGCTCCACGGTAGAAACACAAATGGGACAGAGATGCCAAGCAAACGACTTGTACAAAGTCTTCCTCTGGTAAATATATATGTTATTTAGAGAGTACCATTTTTAGAATTATAGGAATCGACCCTGTAGTGAATAAACCATAAATCCAAACAACTTTCTTCCGAGAGAAATGAGTAGGTCTAATTGAGACTGATATGCATTTTCCTAACTCGTATGTTTATTAAGCAACACACAAAATGAAGCCCCCAGTTCGTCCGATATTTTAATAACAACCGAATTAACTTTCGTGTCCCGAAAGTAGTCGAGAAAGTTCGACTAGTTTCGGGACTGTATTCTGATATAGTCTGATATTTTTTATTGATTCATATTACACGATTACACAATTTTGCAATTAATAGATTTTTAATGGATGATAATGGAATGGTAACCCTGCCTGTGCTAACGGTAAACGCTGGCGGAGTACTAGTAAGGGATAAAAAGTGAAAATGAAAAGGAAGGTCCGTTAGCCCATTGTGATGAATACATCACGATGATTTCCAGGTAGGACCACATGAAGATCGATCTGACAGAGTATATTGCTAGCAATTGATTTGGTACTCCACATTACAAACACCCCCACCCCCCCTCCTCCCTCCGTAACCGATAGGTTTCACTCTTGTGTTGGTCTCACACATATTACGATGGGAGATGACTTTTATATTTTCTGAGAAAAAATTGCTTGCTCCGAGGCAAAATGTATTTGTAAACACGAGATTCCACGTTCTAAATGTGAATATTTTTAACTAGCGACAGA